GACACTTCGTTGACGAGATTCCAAGTATGTAGTGTTGGAATCTTGCGGTCTTATCAGCTATCCTCCGTTCTTTCCCTCTAAGTGAGGATATATTCCAATTTCTGACTGTATGCTCCCACCCTCGATATCGTTCCAACGTATGCTTCAACAGCATGCTATAATATCATCGCGCTGTCCGCCTCCTCCTCCTTTCAGAACGGATAGCGACTTCGTAGATATCATAGTCAGCTGTCAGGTTTTGATCACTGATGTTTCGCTATCCGACCTGAGTTCCCATGCAACCTGCGCAGCCTTTCGTTACTGGGCGACAGCCAAACCTGTATAATGCTCAATTACGGCAACGCCATCAGAGGAAGGTTGTGAAGTTTTGTGGGAAAGCTCGCCACGGTGCCTAACCCTCTTCCTTTATCATCCAGGTTTGTTATCAACAAAATCGTTGTTAGTTTACTGACTTAACAAAGTTTTTTCATCATATTGCTCAGTACGGTAACAGTAAGCGGAAACAGCGTTCGACTAGGTGTGACAGTTCTCTTTAGTTGCAGTAATATCTAACTGATGAATTTATGAATAGCATTATGGAAGTTCTGTACTCGTTGTTTACAACAATATGGTTTTTTAGAGAGTATGTAGCACTGCCATAATCTTTACTTGTTCTCAGGGTTCGATCATTAGTCGCGGATTGAACAGTGCACTTCATTTTTTGTATGACTTAGTACAGACATTGAGATATGTATAATAGATGTACACCGATTCATCTGTTATTGCCATAAGATTTTCTAACCGAGTTCACAGATGGCTTCAAGGTGAGACCATCGGCCGTCTGAAACCTTACTTCTGTGTGCTATTGCGTTTGACTCATATGTGGCTTTGAGATGTTTAACTTTAGTAATGCGGTTCAAGTCGTGGTCTGAACATCGTGCCTTCCACAAACGATTGAAGCAGGAGAAGCAATTAGAATCGGCTGGTATCAGCAGGGACGGGGGCAACGAAGGTATAAATTGTCCGGCAAAGTCGACGACCGTCTCCTCCTCTGCATCCTTATCGTCGATGATGTCCACCGGTGGGAGCCGGCCGACGTTGCCGTCTAACGTGAAGCTAATCACCGTGC